ATTGATCAGTTATAAGATCTCCACAGCTCAGGTTATAAAGCTCCTATAAGTGTGGTAGTAAACATCCTTCATGCAAAGATTTGACAGCAGGCTTACTTGTGACAACTCATATGGGATAATTGTATTTCAGTTTAATGATATTTATTTAAATATTTTAATAACATAATCATTTGTTTTATTTATTTATTTTTCCTGAGAGCTAGGTCACTTGTATTTGTGCAGATGAAAAAAATTAAAAGGAACATTCATTTCTTTAGTCACTTATAAACTTTCTAAACACATAAAGAGTTTTTTTTTCTTTTTGGCTTGAGAAGCAAGTACATTTTATCATTAAATCTAAGTGTACCCTAAAACAAAGATCACCAGGATTTAATTTATATTGAACAGAGTATTATTAACACATAATCTTTTTAAGGGTATTTCAAGAGCTCTTCATCTAGTTGAATAAGTGATTTGTATGACACTTATCAATTCTACATATATATATATATATTGAAGGTGATTTTTTTTTAATTAATTGTTAAGGATAAGACAAATATTTGTGCATAAAATCACAACCTCGAAACAAGGAAAAATTTCAATACCATGAATTGAATTTTATAAAGAGTGTTATTTGTTGTTTGTGTTAGGAACAAGTTCAAGAATTACTGGATGCTATGTTTGAAAGAAAGGTGAGTGTTAAACAGTTTTTGTTTTATTTTTCTAAACTTAATAGTCTGTCATATTTCATTGATAACACAAGCCTGCAATGGTTATATTGTCTTGAAATTTTTAAACGTTCTATAGTCATTCTTGTATGCTGAATCCGAAAAATGATATCCCTTTTTCTCCATCCCATAAAGATTTTTCACAAAATATCATAATGCAATACATTAAAAAAAGACCAGTTTTGAGACTAAAAGACGTAAATTTAACAAAAAAATCAGGATGAATGACGATACATATTCATTTGACATCAATGTACTTCTCTTTTCTTCAGTTTGTTTGAATTTTTGTTAATTTCTGTTAAAAAATTACTGTTTCATTATTCATAGATTTCTTACCTTGTCATTTTCTTTAATTCTTAATCAGAGCTTGAAATGTTCACACTATATTATTTCCAGGTTAAGACTGGAGATATCATCATTCATCAAGGAGATGATGGAGATTACTTCTATGTTATACAGAGGTTAGCTTAAATCTTAAATATATATATATATTCATATTCAAGTTATATCTTCAACATATAAATATACCACAGACTCTTATTTCCAGTAAGTGTATAAGAACCCTTAAACTTGTATCTTTAACATACTTAATCAGGTGTTAAACATCATACCCTTAAGCACATTTAATTGTTTTATCTTCTGCAAATATAAGAATAAATAAGTTTATATACATTACATAAATGTAAAAGTAACAAAATTATGTAAATTTCTTACATGCATGTAAGTACAATCAAATTGTTGATTTGAAGAAAATGAACATTTTAAAATTTAAGAATATTATTAACATAATTGTTATGTACACACACAAAAATAATTTAAAAGTGAACTTTACATTGTTCTTTACAATAATGTTAATCCATTTGCATTTGTCACCAATCATCAAATGTATTCAAAGAATCCATTAATATAATGCTAACAATAAAATAATTTTCCTATAATCATGGTAATCTGACTTAAACATTTTCTGTAAAATGGGAATTCAAAATAATTCTTACTGAAGTGTGAAACTTTATATTGTATTAAAATAGTGTTTATGGGGGCTTATAGGGGATTAAACTCAGTTTTTTGGTACAGTTACCCAGTATTAAAATAGAATAACAAACTATAAGATGTGCTATTTCACAAAATTTGTTATAATTTCTATCAGCTTAAAATGTAAATATTCACACATACACCCTTTCTTAAAATGTGATGATAAAAAAATCAGTTTAAAGTATCTGTTGGGTTTTGTATAGGGGATGAATTCTTTACAGTAGGTGTCTGTGACTTGTTGGCGATAAATGTCAACACTAAACAGACAGCACACAATCCACTTGTTTTAAAATAAGATATTCAAAAGATGTCAAATGTATCTACAAAAATTCGTTACACTATAAGATACCCCAGTTATATCTAAAACTCTAAATAATTCTTCTTTCTTGTTAAAAGATCACACAGGCTGATTCAATTACTTTAGAACCCAATTGAAAAGACAAATTATTTTTCTCTACTCTGTTTCTCATTATACAATTTGTGATAAATTCACATGCATTACCACATGGGTTACCACAGTTGTATCCAGAACTTTAAGTAATTGTCTCCTTTTTGTCAAAGTCCACACAGATGGGTTCAATTACTTTAGAACACTCTTTGCAAAACAAATTTTTCTTTATTTCTGTTAAACTGTGAAACTCACTTTAGATATTGCCCACTATGGCTAAACTAACAATCATACTGTCTAACTTACTTTTATTTCCTCTTGCACTCTATATCTGCATGTATTTATAACAGAAACATCTAGAAATATCTAGCCCTCTAGTGACAACAATATTCACATAACAAGAAAAACTTCGAGTAAGATGATGTCAACAGTATTACAAAAGCCTAGTACAACAATTAATCTGCATACACAATGTATTACTCATACAGAATTATGTAACAATACTTCTCATAACTACCTCTTAAAATAATTAACTTTTAACACTTGTTATGAAAACTAAATAATCATTAAATATTAAATCACTAAATAAACTAAATAATAACTCTTAAACTAAAAAGTCTTATATATCTGACAGTATCCTTTTGTGATAGTATTTGAAATATTCTAGTTGGTGTAGATGTATGATAACTGTCTTTCTTCTTCTGGTAGTGGAACTTACAACATCTATGTCAGCACAGATCAAGAAAATGAAACATTTGTGGGTAAATATGAAAACTCTGGCAGCTTTGGTGAACTAGCACTGATGTACAATCAGCCTCGTGCTGCTACAATTAAAGCAGCATCTGAGGGATCTCTCTGGGCAATGGTATGTTATATTTCACAAGCTATCATTAGTTTTCTCTCCTTGAACATTTAAATAACTTCAAAAAATAGGTATAAGTTCATAACCAAAAATAATAATTAACTGACCAACAAGGAGTAATTTGTAAAAACGTTGCTTTCACTATAACACTAATGAATAATTAATTTTGGCAATTTTTAATTTAGAAAATGTTTTATGATGAAATTCATATATATATATTTAATATATACATATTATTCTCATTAATATTTATTTAAAAGAGGCATTTAAGTGTACATATATTGATTACACCCTGTTTTTCTCCCAGCGACCCTTTCTTATATTATGTTGATTGAAAGATTGCATGTATAGTTATTTTTATGATATTATCACACCAGAAAAACAATACTAACTTCTAGTAACAATAAATTATGAGATATAAATAAGTTACTGTTACTTTAATTTTTCACATAAAACACCCTAGTTTATTTGTCTTTCATCTGTACACTGTAATAAACGTAATTTGAGAACTATTTAATAAGTATTGAGTTTTATGAAATAAAGGTTTCTCGATAAAGCAAAGCTTTAAATTTTTTATAAATGTAACTTTTGTGCAAAAAAATGTTAAAACTTGTTTCTGAACTTTTAGTAAATCCTGTTCCTGTGATGTTCGATGGAAAATTTGATTAAATTTTAGTTTTATGATAAAATAGTTGTCATTTAAGGTGAAATAATAATTTTGAAAAATCTTGGAGAATGAAAGAAAACAAAACCATGTCAAAACCAATTCATATGTCTTAAAAACCACACCATTCTAAGAGAGTTTTAGTAATTATTGAACCAAAATTTTCTTTATTTTTAATCTTTAGGACTTTACTGTGTCTAACGTCCATGAAGTGAACTAGATTATCATTTCTTTATAAAAGAAGCTCAGAATTTAGTGAGTAACTCATTTTGGTAGTGCTCCATATATTCCCAGAATGATTTACCTCAATTCATGTTGGAGTTCTGTGCTGGTAAAAGTACAATCTCAGTATGATTTGTCTCAAACTATTGTTGGACATAGCACAAGTTATGGCATAAAGTATTATCATGCTGAAAAAGTTATAATTCTTCCCCATTGAATTCTGTTAAGGAGTTCATATATATTTAAAGCCACTCGTGGCTCTCCTGAATATTGCTATACTACCTCATTCCCAGTTTGCCCCTGAAGAAGAAAGGTCCACCTTTTGAAAGTGCTTGGGTTATAGGGTTTTTATTTATTTCTATCAAGACTTCTTGAACCTATATGTTTTTTTAACATCATGAGTATACTAGCTCAGTCACTGATTGAGTGGGACAATGTATTCATATCCAAAATGGTCTCCAATTAAATCCAAACACAACCATCCAAAGAAAAATAAGAAATAGTAGAAATCATTGCTGCATCATGGGAACCAACAGTGTAGAGATCCATTCTCTCAAGATGTATTGGCCTGCAATCCTGTAGTCATAGCTGGTGGATTTAACATCAGATATGAAGTTTTAATTCACATCTTGCATAATTCACAAGAACTGAAGAGTGATTAATTTTGTGGAATTAGGCCAATATTTCACATTAGATCCTCTAGGGTTTCTCATTTCCACAGTGAAGTTGAATAAAAGCTGGTAGAATGGATTTCTTAGAAACCCGTACTACCAGTTCTGCATCTAGTAACTAACCATCTTTGAAGTTCTGTCAGTTTTTTTTACTGTAGCATCTTGAGCCCTTCTTACTGTATGTGATGGCTGCTGACATTTATTCAGTTGTTTACCATTAGATAGAATGTATATACTGTTAATATAGATCTATTATTTTATGGGAATTTGTCGTCTCACTGTTTACAGTAGAGTGATCTATGTTCAGTTGCTAGGCTAGAGCTTTCTTGTGTTAATTTTGTTCTTTCAAAAATAACAGAAAATTATTTATTTAAAAAAATAGGTTATATTTCTTTACTTACTTAATTTCACACAAATTCATGTTTAATGTTCTGTATTTGCCATTTGACATTGCAAGATTATGAAAATTTACTCTCCTCAAAAGAAGTTGAGTAGTGTATAATGTTTCAAAATCTGAACATTTGAAACGAAGAGAAATGCAAAAGTATTTGTTCATGATATTATTGTGTGTAAGGTTTCAATAATTGTGTGTGTGGTTATGTTTGAACATTTTTTTGTAAAATGTAATGTCACTTGTAGGAAAGACTAGTTCTACAATTATATATGTGGTTCAGTTAATTAAAATTAATTTACTGCTTGGACTTTTTTGCTCCAGAGTCGTCAAGTCTTCAGGAAAATTGTACTTAAAGGTGCGTTTAAAAAGAGGAAAGAATATGAGACACTTTTGGAAGGAGTTCCTATGTTACAATCTCTAAATGTAAGCTTGTTTGTTTATTTTAACATTTTATATTTAGAAAGATATTATCTGACATATGTTTTTTCCCACTAATGTGTGTATATGAGTAAAATGGAAACATTTTTATTAGTATGCATAAGAACAAAGTGCAGGGCAAAGAACTAGAATATTTTGTCTGAGGTTGAAAGCATTATTTAATATTTATTTAATTTATAATACTGAATGCTTTTTTTGTATTAACTTTTTTAAACACACACCATGGTCACCACCAATTATGCAACCTATAATCATTCCCTGAGGTACTTTCCTTTGAACAGGTTGACTCCAATTGTGACTGCTGTACACTTTTGAATTCACATACTACATGCAATATTTCAGTCAGTGGATGTGACATGCTAATACTCATTGGTAATATAGTGTATATGTGATTTAAATTTCATGAATTATGCATTATCTTCCAGTTTTTGCATGCATAGTACAATATATATGTTTTTATATAGTCAGAATGTATGTCTAAAACAAGTTGTTTTTCTTCAGTGTATTCCCAAGTTTATGATTAACATTGTTCATCAAGTGAATTAGTTTATAGAAAAAGTTATGATATCTGAAACAACATATAAATATTAAAGAAAGTTTATTTGGTGTTGTATAATATTTTAAACAGTGGTATTATATCTTTAGTAAGAATTGCACTTGTTAATATTTGTATTTTTCTCTATACATTGCAAAAGCTTTTTCATGTGTAATGTTTGTGGGCACCAATTTTAAATTCTGCAGTTAGAACTTTTTTGCGCTTTCTTTGTTCTTAAATTTTCAATACGATATGTGAACTCAAATCTTACTATACTTGTACTATTATTACAATTAAGATGTTGTCATAATGCCTTTATCATTTTCTCTCTGAAGTAAGTGCTTTTAGTTTTGTACTTTTGTTAATTTCTTGTGCTTTGATATACACGTAGCATTGAGCTGGTTGTTAAAGTTTTATTCATCCAACTTACATAGTAAGATGAAAGAGTGAAAACTGAAAATAGTGTGCAGTAGTTCATTTAGTGTCATTGTCAATGGCCAAATATACATTTATATTTACAAAGAGCTGTAATTTCAAATATGCTGATTTTGATGAAGTCATATACTTTTTATTGTAGGTTAGTAGTTTAGTGGACTTATACGTGTATTCTTAAGTTTCTTAGTTTTGTTTATATTTTGTTAAATGTGGTTGAACTGATTTATTACAAAAAAAGTGACAACTGGAGGGAGAAGAGCCTGTATTTTAGCTGCTGCTGAACTCTTCAAGCACATAAATGGATGCCCCCCCCACCCCCCAGTGGCACAGTGGTATGCCTGCGGACTTACAACACTAGAATCTAGAATCCAGGTTTTGATATGCGTGGTGGATAGAGCACAGATAGCCCATTGTATAGCTTTGTGCTTAATTACAAACAAACATAAATAGATATGTTTTGTGATACAATTCCAAATGCATGATCGTGACTGTGTTACTAATGGCTGTAATAAAGCTAGTCTCTAAAATATTCATCATTCATCCCATGGGAAGATCAAATATTTGATCCATGTAAAGAAAATAATAAGGCCTAGAATGAAGTAGTCTGTGTATGCCAAAGTAAGTGAGCCCAAATTCTGATGTTTGAATATATGGTATGGAATAGTACTCAAATGTAAATTTCTGGTCCTTCTAGAAACAAGAACATCTAGAAAATCTCTATATATTTATATGTCCAGTTATTTATCTTTGAGAAATGTAAAGATATAAGCGAATTAATTGAATCTTATTTTATTATTACATTTTCAGTCATTTGAAATAATGAACTTGTGTGATGCCCTGATGCCCAAAAGCTATAAAGATGGGGATATAATTATTAAACAGGTTAGTTTTTTTTCCCAAACATTTGGGTTTTTTTTTCAAGGTCCAATCTAAACAAATACTATGTGAAAAAGTGTATATCTGCAGCTCAGAAGGGTTAGCTGTCATCTCAGATCTGATAGAATGTATAGATCTGGGTAAAGTACCAGGTTTCTTGAGGTCTGAAAGTAGCTAGGAATTCTTACTATAACATTCTTATGAGAAGTATTGATCATGCCAATTTCAAGTGGAATAACTTAATTCAGTTACTGATGGTGAAACCTAATTTGTCATGTTAAACTTACAGTGAATACAAATTCGATGACGAGGAACCCACTTTGAGACTAATAATGGCTGGAGACGGCTTAAATGGGTAATGAAGAATAACTTTAATATAAGTCGAAAC